CAAGTCCTCAACTTGCGCTAGCTGCCAATGATACACAAGTCCTGCGGCCCTGGTTAGCTTGCTTTCTTTCCTTGTCAAATAAAAAAGTGCACTTTGCACCTCGATGGCACTTCACAAGGCGCGTAAACAAAGCCAACCAAATTTATCACTGTTTTAGCAAAAACACTGTATTACTGACAGACAGCGCTGGCTGAGACACGGCGACCATGTTTTTCAGACAGTATGTGTCATTCTATCCAGTGATGGCCAAGGGGTACCTTGACCTATGGGCACCAAAGGGTACAAAGAATGCTTCAATTTATTCGTTAAGGCGCCAGGGAGGGATTGAGCATGAGTTTATATATGTGTGTGTCTATTCTGTTCTTTCAGTCTTCTCCTTCTCTCCGTCGCTCCCCACATCGTCTCCCATCTCTCTCTCTTTCTTAATGCATATGCATTTGCGACAATGCACCAACAGACCAAAAGTTTTGAAAAGGGAAAAACAGTATTGCCTTCCTCGACCCTTTCAGCTTGCTTGTAAAGACATTCTCTTCAATTCAGCTGTGGACAATAATCCTGTATTTAAGCACGTGTATTTTATTTACAATACAATAACAAATAGTCTTCCTCTCAAGTCAATTCCTCCTTGTAAAGTTATTTAAATATATTTCTCTTTATATAAGTCATAAAACAGATATATAAGACTTATGTAACATTTGAATATGTAGACTTGAGCGTGACAGATACCATACTATTTTCCCCACAATAAAGCAATATCCAGATGTCAGTAATTACACAGAGCACGCGGGGGTGAAATGTGAGGGTGATGAATTATGACGGCTGTTATCAAGGTTTACAAAACAGTGCCCCCAAAAGGAGGGGTGTTGATAAAACTGTGCTGTCTTATTTTTTTGGAATTTTTTTGTCCTTCATCGAAAAATATTATTGTATGGTCAGTCATAAAATAAGTTATTTTAAATCAAACCTTATTTTGATGATAATACACCATTTTTATTTGTAAACAGGTGAAGGAATGTGCATTTTCAGTATCTGAATTTCTTATCTAATACTTGACCACCGCAGGCCACGATCATCCCAGTTCTGTGGTTTCGTGGTCGAAGACTGGTCACAACATTTACATTAAGACGACAGAATTAACCTAGATTAAGGGCATCGATAAATCTATCAAGTTAACACGTTGTGGTTATGATTGCTTAGGGTAATCGAAAGCGATTTTATCAAAACAGATTTTATCAAAGCATTTGCTCCTATATGGTAAGTACAGATTTTCAAGTGGAGTTGGCCATAGTTTGCCTGTACCAACCACAGTGTTGAGAACGTGACGTCAAGAAATCCCCCAGCCAGTACCTTGAACATCAGATCTGAAACTGAATGTCCACGTACCACTGTCCAAAGCCCATTAGATTCGTATAGGTTAGGATTAACGTGACGTGTGTGCGCCGAAATCTAAGACGTGCCTAAGTGTACATTTCATTCAATCCGGGCCCTACATCTCAGGGGATTCTTTCGTTTATGACACCCACTTCTTAATTTGTTTGAAAACGGAAAATCAAGTAAATTTGTTGTGAAAAAGTATTGCCTTCAGTGTTAATTCTCTCTTTCAGGGCTATTGGGCCATTTATAAAATCTCTAATGCTACAACTCAATGTCTATTGTCTAATATCTTCCAGTTGTGAAGTACTAAAAATATGGTGGCTTCTGGATTCGCCCAAGCAAGGGTGGGAGCACTCACCGAAACCCACAATAGCACGTCCTGTGCTCATTAGGACAATTTTGGCAACCAACACCACAAAGACATATGACATATCTTTAAGCACACATTTTCATTCCTCACATCAGCCTCCAATGTCATTCCTCATCCACCTGATAGAGAGATAAACAGACAAGGTACATGAGTTTGGCCGCGAAATTATGCCATTATTGAAAGTCTGCGTAATTCTGTCGCTGTTCCAGGCTCATTTACACGTGTACAATTGTATCACTGCATGTTATCTTGGTGCTTTTTCGTGTGTGAATGTAATTGAAGTCTACCCAACATTCCTATGTGGATTTGTGACTTTAAATAGCAATGAAAAGCAATAAAAAGGGTTTGTTTGAACTTGGGGCAACAGTTTTGAAGACATTGTGAGTGTTTCTCCCCATGGTTCTGCCGATTTTTGATGACTAATTCTAATCCGTTGCATGTTTAACAAAGATATTAAATTACTCACTGAGAATTATGTCCTGTTTGGCGCTACCACAAATCAGTACATTTCGCCCGTCTGTTCTCACCGGCTCATAATCTCAATATCGTCTAATATAACTTGAACTACTTGATGAAACGATAAACAAATGTTCAAGTGCATGTAGGGGACCAATCAGTCCACAATGGCACCTGTATTTGATATCCCGAGGTGTACGATGTGCAGATAAAACTAAACGTTAAAAGACAACATAGCATGTATTTGAACGAGTAGAAGCAGTGCTGAAGTTGAAGGCATCCGAGATGGTAATCTCAGCCTTACAGACGGGATATTGTTTCTGTCAGAGCCTTTGGTGTAAAACAATAGTGCCATCTTGACACTCACGTAGATAAGTTTCAGTGAGTTATGTAACTAAGACCGAGTTCCCATACTTATATCGATCTAACAGGATCGATCCATCTCCGAGGGGTTTCTCGCTGTATTGCTTTCAGCTTAAGCGGCTGAGATGTTTGACGCCATCAGTCTACGTGGATCGATCCAACTCTGAGGGGACTCTTGCTGAGTGTAATCAGCTGAACTAAATGAGACGCTTCCCCTTTTTTCAATGTACTCGTATAAGCATGAGCTTTTCTGTAATTGTACGTAAAGCCTAGAGGAGGAAAGGGGCCTTATGCCTGTTGCAGAGTGTTACGTAACTCCTTGGACATCAGCGTAGAAGAGAATATTGCGCTTTTTGGACTAAGAAGATTGATTGAAACGCCAAATGTATCTTATGGAGATATAAATCCAAACATTTTAAAGACAAAGACAAGACTACGGAGTATTAAAAAAGAAATCTAATTGTTGAATCATAATGGGTAATTTCAGAGATAGGCTTTAGTTTTTCAAGTTTTTTGCGGTTGATAACCTGTAATATCTTTGTCATTGCTGTCTATTTTAAGAAATCCACTGACTATAGTCAGGGCAATGTGAAAGATGCTTGAAATCTTATTTCACTGATAAGCAGTCACTCTTGGCGTGGAGAGAGCAATCTCAGACATACGTTCAGATCAGATGTATGATTACCGACATATATAGTTTTAGGGGAATAAATACTCTGTTATATAGCCATAGGGATCTTATTTCGTTATTATTTCGGTCCTCTAGACTTACGGCTCATTCCCATTGAAACTGCCGGTCTATACAAGTACCAGTATTCAGGAAAACAAAGATTTGTCATCGTGAGGAAAAAAAACGCAGAAAACGTTAGGCTGATAAACCACAACATTTTAAGCGTTGTATAGTACAGGTTGACTCTGTCATATGCATATTGCTTCCCTGCTTTGCTTCTTTGTAGAATGCTTTATATCCATTGGCCTTTTGGCCACAAAACCAATTCTTTGGTACTTTAAACGTTCTTGTAACCCCCTGTCCCGATATTTTACTCAATATGTCCTTTACAAGTAGTTTACTCTTAGGACCTCCAAGCCTTCCATGTATACGGCTGTTGGCCAAAGTAGATATATTGTGCATGTATTCTATGACAGCACTGGACCCAGTTTTACAAACACTTAAGTCAGTTCCCTGGTTTTATCGACTAGGATTTCCATGAAAGTGCTGTATATCTGTCGCTGATAGGGTAAGATGTGCGCATGTGACAATGTAACGTTGGTGAATAAGTTCTTGGCCAGGGAACCTGACTTAAGTCTTTTTGTAAAAACGGGGCGTGAATATTTTTTCTCTCAACTCACCAGTTCAACGCAACGATAAAAAGCGTCGTGAAAAGTCTACGTGAGTGAAGAATGTTCACAGGACTGGCGG